TAAAGACTTTGGTGTTCTATATTATTAGTGCATCAGATTCAACAGTCAGCATTTCTTCATCAGACAACTTGATGCTTCTGGAATTGATCTGTTTGGTCTGAAATTCTGTGCTCCATGGGTGATGCACCTGATCAAGCTTCATTCCACCATTGACTATCAGCCTTCAGCGCGCAACCATGTTGTCTTTCTGCCTGAAGTTGATATGTCCATTGAAGCCATCTACCCTGAGCCTACCAAGAAGCCACTCCACCTGCAGAATGCTAAATTTCAAAGCTTCACACAGCCAATCGAAGGAATCCATGTGCCCAATGCTGCAACTCTTGCATACCCTCTAGCTGGCAACATGCGCTTTCCGCACCACGCCAATACTGAAGCTAGTGCAAGCACAATTGCTCAAAGGACCCAGAAGCGTCCTCGTGTCCTCAACGACCGTGAGCTTCTGGTGGCTTTACATCAGAAGCAGGATAGGCATCATGACTGACTGAAGCGTCAGATGCAGAGTCTCTTGGTGGATGTCAATCGAATTCGCAACTTGGCGACCAAGAACTCATTTGTTGCACATAAAGCCTATAGGCGGTCCTGGAAGAGCCTCACAATGCTCTGTACTGAAGAAGATCTTCGCGAAGATGGCTTCATAAAGAACTTCAAGTTTGACTCCAGGCCTCCTCAAAATGCAAGCTGGCGTCGCACTCCCTCTATCGAAGATTCTGAGCATTCATCTTCGGCTGCAACTGTTGTTTCGAGAGTCGTCGATGAAGAAGACGACACCACTTCCCCAACCTTGGCTGCACTGCATCATGATACTGCGTCAGGCCCGTCTGCACCACCAAACTCCAACGTCGACCCTGCTCCATCGTCTACTCCAACTGGGAACGAGTAGATCCTCTCTGCCTTCAAACATTTTTGGTCATTACTGACAAAAGGGGGAGAAGCATATGAGGTTGATAGTCTTCAAGCGGGTCCATATGGGTGGTTGCATTATTTTTGCTAAGTTCTTACAACTCTCATTTTGAAACTATTTGGTTTTTGAGTTGTAACACTTAAACTTGATGGTCGTCTGCTATGTCTTACTGCTACTTTGTGATGCGATGATAAATTCTGCATGAAGTCATTCTGCAGACGCCCATTTTTCATTGTGCATGTCATTATCTTTGTTACTCTTATATATGCATGATGAATTGTCATCGCAAGTTGTAGAGGATCTCCACAAAGTAAAACCTGCCATGTGCATTTGCATTGAAAAGCAAACTACTTATATGCACACCTTCAGGGGGAGCCTTTTTGCAACTTATGAAGACAATGCCCTTATCCTTAACTCTCACATACTTTTATCCCCGTTGAAAATTTCAACCAGTTTGTCATCAATCACCAAAAGGGGGGAGATTGTAAGTGCATCTAGTGCCACCCCTAGTTGGTTTTGGAGTATTGACGACAAACTTGGTTGAGGGACTAATGTGTTTGTGAGAATTGCAGGATAACACAGGTGGTAGTCCCTTATTGATTTCGTTTACCTACCAAAGATGAACCCTAAAAATGTGTGAAGACATTGAAGACAATGGTGGTCTGTGAAGACATTCACAGTGAAGATTATGACGTGAGAAGACATTCATGTGAAGACTATGGAGTGCTAAGACATAGTTGTTTCGTAGTTTCCTTTTCTTCTTTGTTGAGTCATAGGAACCACCGTACTATTAAGTAGGGTCCAAGTGAACAAAGTCAGAGTAACTGAAGTGATGCTCAACCAAAATCCTATGTCTTCGAGCAAATACAATGAGAGCAAATCATATCCAGAGCTGGATGAGTCAACTTTACTTGTAGCCCAAGTCAAGATGCCGCATGTGTTTGAAATCCGACCGTTGGACACGTGTCGGTTCCTTAGTGACCGAGGGTCATTTCGGACATATCATGTCGGGTTGCCTCCGGGCTATAAATAGCCCACCCCTACACCATAAATTGGTGGCTGCTCAGAGTTAGTGCACGACTTTTGTCGTTTGAGAGCAACCCACCTCCGAAGCATTTGAGAGAGAGATCCTTGCGAGGACAAAGCCCAAAATGCCCAGAGCCAAAGAGTGTTACGCATCACTGGAGTCATTATGTCCGCGTGACTTGAAGACTTGTTACACTTGAGGACTGTGAATCCTCTAGCCGGTTAGGCGTAGCGTTCCGAGCATCCAAGAGCCATTGTGGATTGCCAGTGAACGAAGTCTGTGAAGATTTGGAAGTCTACCTTGAAGACTTACCAGAGTGATTGGGCGAGGACTGGGTGTCCTTAGCTCAAGGGGAATAAGGTGAAGACATGGTCTTTTGAGTTAAATCTCAGCCTCCCTAACCAGACGTACAGTTGTCACAGCAACTGGAACTGGTCTACCAAATCTCTGTCTTCACCAAGCAACTGGTTCTACCTCCCACTTCCCTTTACTTTACAGTTTGTCTTCGTGAAGTCATTGCCTGCTTGTTTGATCTGATTGACTTCACTAAGTGAAGACTGTTTACTATTTGGCTTCATACTGTCTTCCATCATAATCCATTCTACCTAGCTGTTGATAGTCTTCGTGCTTTCACTTCATTGCATTCTTGACTATGGCTTGTCTAGTGTAGCCTTCCTTCCGCTACATATCAATAGGCTCATTTATACTGTTTGTCTTCAAGACCTTATATTCTAAAGACTTTCATAAAAATCGCCTATTCACCCCCCCCCCCTCTAGTTGATAACTAGCACTTTCACAATCAATTGCCACCAGTTAGAGGGTTGGAGAAACGGAGCGAAGCCACAGAATAACACGGAAGAAGATGTCGAAGTTTCCACACCAATAGACAGCCAATAACTCTCCTTGAAAGACACATGGACTATCAAAATTTGAAGAAACCAACAGATCTAGGGACACAAACTCGTACAGGCCCTTCGTTGGCGCCGGATCGGACGTCATCGAGGTAGGGAGAGACCGGATATACCTTATTTCAACACACCATTGCCGCTACCACCTCTTTGATGTCATCGGAGAACCAAAAACCTAAGACAAAAAAGAGACATACATATGGGTCCCTAGTCATCTCGCCGCTGACGAGGCCACCAGACAAGAAAGAGGAAGGGGGCTGAGGCAGGGGCATGTAGGGAAGTGATGTCGGCTAGGGTTGGGAACCAAAAACTAGCGTCATGTAGGATAATTGTTGAGTTGGAAGAGAGGACGGTTTGCATCTAAGAGATAATTACTCATATAATATGTTTTGTTGTCTTTCTTGATGACACTAAATGTGTACGTACAATGCACATTAATATTAGACACGTTTATATTAGCCAGGACATTAGTTATGCATAATTGCATGACTATATTGGATAGGATATCAAGTACGAATTAATTATATGATTAGAATAGATGTTGATATTTGGTATGATATTGATTACATGCTAAACATGTCGAGCGCTCACCATTAAAGTAATATAGGTCATGGTGGACTTTGAATTAATATGATTTGATGACCGAGATTAATTGGATCTACCCATATATATGCAATATACAAGAGAAGTTCTTTTTATCAACATGTATATGACTATAGAGCATGTCCAACAAGTCTGCTAAAAATAGTTATATGGGTGCACATATCATTTAGGGGATGTTTGTAGATGAGGTGCTTTAGTAGTTCCCTACACATTTTCCCCTATATTCTTTTTTAATTTCTCTTTAAACTAGCATACATATGACACATATATGTTACATTGTGATGATAGTGATCTAAAGCACATCTAGTAGGTCTTCATGCTTTGATCGGTCCTTGGTACTGGATCAATGCTCACACTTTCCATGCCATGACTAATACGTTATCCTCATCCGTGGAGAAGTTGCTCCCTCTACTTTTCTTTTGGAAGCAACATCAACTTGGATCATCGTCACCTCTCACGTCATTGTTGTAGAGACTAAGTCCCCCACTTTGTGGACACGGATTTGGACTGCACAGATATATCTGACTTCCAACGGGTGTCCTGATTTTTCGATGAGACGTAGTTATCAATTTTTGTGGAGTCAACTTTGATGACCCGACTACAAATGTGCGACGATGTTGCGCTTTAGCAACCGCTAAAACAATCTCTTGAAGGTTATTGACCACGTCAGAGCATGATAAACTTAACCATGAAGGTCTAATTCCATAAGCAATCGAAGGATAAGCAAGAACTATGATAAAAGCAATCTGATGAGTGCCACTCCGGACGCCACCAACAACCACGCCATCGTCAGAATCCGAGCTCGAGGAGGGATTTTACGAGAGATCCCATACCCCACAACACTCCAGATTCACGCCACCTCCGAAGTTCCACTGACTCTGGTCGCAATTTTCAGGCCTAGACCCGCACTTTCTCTAAATTTAAGCTGAATTCAACAAATGATCAGGATAAATTCAACCAGAGGCCGTAGCATGCCTCCGATAGCCAGGGTTTACAACCCAATTTACATAAGCATAACCCGAAATGGAGAGAAGGAGAGGCTTTATAGCCATTACGGATGAGCGGGTGAAAAGCAAACAGAGAGGTGCCCGAAAGTGAACAACGACGCGGGAGCTTCTCCATACTGTCCGATGAAGAATCAACGAGCGAGATGGCATCATGCCGGCAAACTGTTATTGTAACATGAGAGCCGCAGGATAACCAATCAATGGCTCGAAAACCATCCGAAACACGGAAACAGGGAGCTCCATTTCTTCAGATAAGGGAACTGACAAATGGCACTAGTAAAATCTGTCGTTTCCCATGTAAAACAGTGTCGGCTTAACCTGCTGTGGAGGAATGGTTTAGCAAAGTATAATATCGCACGATGCACAGCAAAGATAACTAATCATATTTTTTTTGGTACTCGTCAAATGATCATATGCAAGCAAGATTCATCGTTAAAAAAAGGAACACCAAAGTACAAGTTGACATTACAAGACCTCCCAGTCAAACTGGGAATACATGCTCATGTGAAACAGCTACAACCAAAGATTAAGAGTTCCATGACAACAGCCGTGCTTCAATCTTTAACAACAGTCCGCAGGATTTTCACTTCATGGATGGGCCTGGACAAAGTAATAAATCCGAGTTAGATCCAACACTTCAACAACATCGGTTTCCATGGAAACTTTCAAATCTCGATCCCATGGTTAATACTGGACACCATAGATGAATTGAGATGAGAGATCATGTGCCTTTGCATTTACACAAACGATAATAGATAGATATACGGCAAGCCCTAGTGTGCATGGGGTTCGCTGCCTGGTGTGGTCATGTAAACATATGGATATAGTTGAAGTGTTACCTATCATTTTTGTCGGTCTGAATACTTCCAAGGCGCTTAACAATTTCCATTCCTCTGGATACTCTCCCAAAAATTGTGTGCTTACCTGGAACATTAAATTACGTTAGTTCATTGGCATGCAAGAACAATGTGATGATGCAAAGCTCAACATGGACAATTCCCGCAAGGAAGAAGAAAAACGGTAAGGTGGCACAATCTATGATGTCCAATTCAGATGTGACCATATTTCATATTTCCGATCCTGGCTAGTAAAATTTCCTAGGATTGGCAATGACGAGGAAAACATGGCTATGCTGGTCCCATATTTCAAGGACAATATGAGTTAAGCTTGAACAATAAAGTAATTCTCCAAAATGCTCTTAAATATCAAGCCATCTTAGTTCCACTTCTCTGTAATCATTATGAGATCCAATTAATCAATCTGTTAAATAAAGGACCCTGATAAGTGTCGAACATCAGGTACAAGCACATGGCAACTCCGAACGCTTTTTATGGCAAGTTTAGTTACGTGAGGATGGCAACTTTAGTTGGCAAGCATGACAACTTGCGTGCTTCAGTTTATTTTTAACAGAAACTTGCCGTGTGTCACTGGAATTTGCCATCCTTGCGTGACTGGAATTGCCATTGAAAAACGTCAGGGCCGGAGTGCCATGCACCTGACGTGTGGCACTTATCATTTCCAAGCTTCCAGGTGAACCAGAAAAATGCTATCGACGAATCCATGTGTGGAACGAATTCATGGGCATGGGGAAAACCCAAACCCTGGTCCAATAAAGCAAACAGGCAAGAACAACAACATAGGGCGGAGTTTTGAAATGCTAGTCTCACCATCCAGTGATTGACAAGGTGCAAGAGTGATGAAGAACTGGCTCCCGTTTGTATTCGGACCAGCGTTTGCCATTGATAGAATCCCAGCCCCGGTGTGCTTCAGATCTGGCCTTATCTCGTCCTCAAATTTTGCTCTGCAAAGACAGCAACAATGTCCATATGTCAACCTTAGGATCCAAACATCAACGAATCAACCCTCACACTGCCAACCTATGGCTGATGGACAATACACATATTTAGCTTCTTGCCAAGCAACAAACTCCGGCAGGCCGAAAACAATGCTATGTATAACAGCGACCGAGATATTCCTACACAATTGCTAATTTGTAACACAGCCTTATCCAGATTAAACGGTAAACAGCATTAACGAGCTTCCTCTAGCCTAGAGTGACACTTGAATAGCCTCGACCCGAGAAGAAAGACAAAGCTATTTAAGATGGGATGGATTTGGTAACTCACCCGTAGATGGATTCGCCGCCCCTGCCTGTTCCACTAGGATCCCCACCTTGCACGATGAAATCCTGCATCAACACCACCTGATGAGGAACACCGCTCGCCCAACGGAGCAGGCGTAGAGAATTGCGTGCCAGACGAGAAGGGAGCATGGAGGGAAAGTGAGTACGGACCTTGATGATGCGGTGGAAGACGACGTTGTCGTAGTATTTGCGGCGCGCGAGCTCGACGAAGTTCCTGCAGGTCTTGGGCGCGTGCTTGTGGTACATCTGCCGGGTTGGAGCACGTAGCAACAAAATCGACCCAACTGTCAGCACCAGCAACACGAAGAAGAAGAAGGGAAGAGAAATTTCCGGCTTCCCGTACCTCGACGGTGAAGGCGCCCATGGAGGTCTCCAGGGTGACCTCCGGAGTCCCTCCGTCGTCGCCGCCCCACATCTTGAGGTGGCGACAGGCGAGACAAGAGACGGTGGCGGCGGCGCGACAAAGGGAAAGGGAGCCAGAGGGGGACGGCGGCGGCGAGTGGACTGGCGGCACGATGGAGAACAAGTACTGGGTCCGGCCTACCAAGAGACCGCAAAGCTTCAAGAGCCCAGCTAAAAAGGCGTTCGTTGCAAAAGGGGAAAAACTCGAAGCCCCGGCCCAATACGAGTCTTCTTCTTCTTCTTCTTCTTCTTCTTCTAGTAAACCTATTACTAAAAAAAATAGAGCAAAGTAAAAGGATGGATTGAGAAAAATTTCTCGTCAGCTAAGAAGATATTGGTCAAATCTGTGGCACAGGCGATGTAGTTTTCTTCAAGTCATGTTTTAAGTTACCAAGAGTTTTGTGTGACCACCCTAATAAACAGAGGCGGAGCCTCTCGGGGACAATTCCGGG